AGACTGCCCATGGACACTTGACAAAGCTCGAATTGTTTGCTGGCCGAGAGGTATATCGTCAGGGCTGCCAGCAGTTTTCAGCACTTGCATCCCTTTCATACAGAATGAAAACAGCAGCAAAAAAATGACAGAGATTTTAAGACTGAACAAGAAAACGAACTGCCAACAGAACAGTGTTCAGCTAGCTCATTTGGCTAATGGTAAATACAGCCTTTTAATACTGAATTTCACAAGCTTGCATTAAGTGAGTCCACGCTCTCAAGACACTCCAGAATAAGAATTCAGCTGCTGCACCCACAGAGGAAAAGCAATAAAGGTCTGTCCTCTAACTTCCCCTGCCACAGGTGATTCCTCTCAGTCTAAAACAGGTATCCAGCTAAGGGTAAAGAAACTGAGACCTCCTTGACAAAATATGATTATCTGACCGACAGAAGTCTAAAGGGAACTAAATGGAGAATGTACATTCACTTTGTGAATCTGACAGGGTTTTTCTAACCTACATGATTTTTTTTTCCTTTTCACTGGATATGGGCAGCCTTAATAAAATGGAGTCTTAAAAAGGAAGGCAAGGTTTACTTTCATCCTTACACCATTTGCAGAATAACCCTTTTTATAAAGTCCTATCATAAATTTACATGCTTTGAATACTAAGTACTTTCAATGAAGTCTGTTTATTATATTGACTAATTTCAGTCTGTTCTTTTGTTTTCATGGATCAGGACATAATACAGTTATTTCAAAATAAATGATTGATTTTGCCTCCATATTTACTTTTGATTGCAAAAGTATAATCATCTGTGCTTATCTGTCAGTTTATACATCAGACCTCATCCACTGAAATGGTATCATCAGATTTATATAATAATTATGAAGCTGTATCTTATAACATAATTTCTATTCATATGTATTCTAGGACTAATAGATCCCTAATATGTCTTGATTAAAACTAACTTTAATTTATCAACTCTGTTATCTAAAGTTAATTTTAATCTTTTCCATCATAATCATTATAACTCTGATAGCCACTGTTCCTCCTCTCACGAAGATTAGATTTCTTCCACGTAGATTCTTGATGAAAGCCAGCACTGAAAGATCGACCCAGTCGTCCATGTTGTTTCTTAGAGATATTGTCTTCACTCTCAGATTTGGAAATTCCTTGTCCTTGTGATTGGGATTGTTTATCCTGTCTAACATTTCCAAATGGAAAATTCCAAGGACCAAATCTTTGCCAGTTAAGTCTCTGAAAGGCAATGATGCAATGAAGATTTCCTCCAACCTAATCAAAGTAAAAAGGGGTTCTTTGTTAAATGCACACAGGCACTATTCTAACATACATAGATATTTGAAATGACCATCTGGGCAGGTAACTGAATTTTTTTAAAAAGAAAACAAAATTTTAAAAGGCAACAATATACAAACAAAAAACCCCACAAAACTATATCCACAAACAACTCGGCTCAATCAATTTCAGTTGTTTTCCAGATTCAATTACTGCCTTCTTTCTCATATCCTTTTTATCTTTCATGGGCTACTGTAACTTCTCTTCTGATAGTCTTTTTTTACTCTCCAGACACTTTCACACTAGTATCTCTTCTGGTCCCTTCTCATCTTGCTGACACAATCTTCCATAGTGTCTCCGTGTTTCAAATAATCTCTTCAGCCTATTATTTCTCCTAGACTTTCAATCTGGAAATCAAAAATACATCCCCCACCTACAAGATGCAGCCCTATCTATAGGAAAGAAAGCTATATGTATTAAGTCCACAAAACAGTGACACGCGCATTCTTTTATGTTTGATCCTACTCGACTGTACTTTCTTCCCTACTTATGTGTAGCCAGAAGGTAATGCACCAAAAGGATCTGCCTGTAATTTGTCTGTATTTATATATTTGCTGCAGCTACAGTTTAAGCCAACATGGTTAAATATCATGATCAAACACATTGTACATGCAGGTATCCTGGTTCATCCTAGCATATGACAGACTTACCGTATCTTGTCCTGCAAGTCAATAGAAATTACTCTGGCATGGAAGTATCCACATTAAGACTTTTGGCTTCAGCAATACTTTGTAACAAATTTCTTTTAGTGAAGTTATCTTAATGCTGCTGAAGTACAAATAAGTTTGCCAAAAATCCACCATGAATTTCCTCCCATTTTAGTAAGTTTACCTTACCTTCTTTGTTTTTCGATGCTGCAATCCTCTCTCTAGGTGTCGAATATCTAGATATTCTGGATTTTGGGTGTTTAGATCAGTGACAATATCTGCCCACCTACAAAATAAGATTACTACTATTTAGCTGACATTTATGAAACCACAGCACCACTAAGACTCAGGTACATACGCATGCAAATAAAGATCTGCAGCTTTAAATAGTCTTACCAGTGATTCAAAGATAAACAAATGTGTAAAGATATAAAAGCCTCAGTATTAGAGACATCAAACGAGATATAAAAGCATCCCTTTTAAACAAAGAACTCACAGTGATTATTCCTGCTCTTTCGGGAACCAGCTTACAAAATGAGTAAGGGCACCATGAGTCACTAGTTGCATTGCTGACCCTTACTAAGTCATCAGTTTGTAAAAGGAAGAAGCAAACTGCCATTTAGGCAAGGAGGAAGATAAGCTTTTATTTTATTTAATCTTCTCTTACCCTTTTATATTATTTTGTTCAAACCCTTGTGTGTTTTTCTCACCCACTAAATCTGTTTTTACCAGACAGCTCTTGCCATAACTCACTCTTCCATTTTATTTAATTCCCATCTGTAACAAACTACCAATGCAATCATTCCCCATTCACTCAGCTCTTCAGTTTCATAGCTGCTTCTAGCCCAACTGAAACAAATATCCCCATATTCCAGACCTCTTTAAGACTACACATGGCCTTTTCAGTCGTTTCAATGTCTAATTACCTGCTTCTCTCTAACACCACCCTCCAAGTTCAGAAAAATCTATTTCTACCCCAACATTTTGACCCCCTACCTTAAGCACAGAACTTTCTGCTAGCTCTCATTGGGACTGCATCAGGAGGAAGAATGTCTCCACAATCAAAAACAATATTACAAAGGTTTGCATTCTACATTCAGAAACCTTTTCCTGTGCCATTTGTAGCTCATATACCACAGGACAAAATTCTGTCAGTGGGATGTACAGTATGCCATTTCTCTGTGCAGAAATCACATGCATAATGTCAATTTTATTTTGTTGCACTTAATCTCATTAGTCCAAAATATACAGCTATTTACAGTTATTGACATAGTCACATCACTGGCAAAACAAACAAAAAAAAGATATCTGGGTTTTAAGTACTGGAACAGATCTGACTGGCTATGAAACCACCAGATAACCACCTTCAGACAATGTTTCAAAATAACTAGAGAATAAAAAAGAGGAAACGAGAAGTTGTGTGGGTTTTTTCTTACTATTATTATTTTTTTTCACAGCTCTTTTCCTAACGTGTCAAGAAAAATCTCAATTAACTTAGGGGGGTGGCTGAGAAGCTTTTTGGTAAAACTTATGTTTTGGCCACGGAATTGTTTTCTTGAGAAATACTATTCTTTTGCACTGTTCCCTCATTTCATAAATTAATATTAAGCATTATGAACTAGCACATCAAGCTGAGAAAACTGTTATATTAATTTATCATGACAGATATAACTAATCAATGACATTTCTACATAGCACCCTCTAGCTCTCCTAGTCTATACGTCTAGTTCAGACACCAACTTTGTATGAGCCAGACCTAATCATAAACATATTGTTTCAATGCATAGGTGTCTTGGTGTCAGGACCACCACCACCACGTGGTCGCACCCCCGCCTCCCCCCCCCCACTCCTCTCCCGGTAAGATGGGGGCAAATAAGAAAAAAAAAGTGGAACCTCCTGAGTTGAGATAACGACAGATTTTTAATAATACCACACGAGGAAAGCAAAAGAAAGAAGAATATAACAATAAGACAAGATATAGAGTACAATGGAAACACTGATACAATGAAAATCTCACCACCACGAGCTTCACAAAAGAGACCCCTCTCCCGGCTAGCTTCCCCTTATATCCCGGGCATGACGTCAGCATGGTATCGAATATCCGGCTATGCCCAACTCCCAGCTTCTGCGAAGAATTAACCCTATCCCAGCTGGACCCAGGACAATAGGTAAGCCAATAACGCAACAGACTACAGGCTGTACCTGTGCCCAAGCTAGGAGATCCTGGCAGCAGCACAATATCCTGTGCACACCCCAGACACAGCCTGCGTACATCCTCAACTGCAGCATAAACTCCTCCAGGGTTCATACAGCCTGAAAGTTGCAACTGGAACAAGTGCAGACAGCTGAGGTCTCTTTTCTTCCTGACTCATGTCAGCTGTGTTACACTCAAACAAGAGTAACAGGCTTTGGCTTTCAGAAGCCCACACGTGTCCTGCTGTGTGATATAAAATTGCAGAACCAGCCTCGAGGTCAAAACATGAAGTTTCTCACTAACACACCTGTTTATTACAACTATAGTATATTAATTCAAAAAACCTCCAGTGACCTTTAGTAGAGAAATACGATTTGTTTTGAAAGAAAATAATTTGTTTTAAATTCTTACAAAGTTACGTACCTTTTACAGTGTATTGTTGGATGTTTTCTGCTCGGCTCTCCAATTAAGATCCAATATTCTACTTCTTGCTGCAAGACACGACCTCTGTTCAATAGAAGATACAATCCCAGTAAGATTTATTGTGCATACTAAAAAGAAAAGAGAGATTAACATTCTATTGTTCTTTTTAGGATTTCCTAACATTGTCTTCTCAGCCTAACTAAAAAACAGCTCCTGCACCATAAATAGTGTTTGCAATTACATACAGGGAAACTTTTTGTTTCACAAGGCCTGGAAGCAGGATAGAAGCTATTGCTTATTATTTGGGGAAAAGGCAGACCTTCCTAAAAAATAGTGTTACCTAGATGAAAGGCAGTCTGGTATATGATCCAAATATAATATACATGTAACAATGGAAATAAGTTGTGGAAAGCCACACAAAGGCAGAACAAACAGCTTCCTCCCAATCTGTGATGTCTAACAGAGTCACAAAGGAGCCCCTTCCACTATTTTTAAACTGTACCCCAGCTGACAGTTGTTACTAACAGCTGTAGGGTAAGGTGTATGAAAACAACTGATAACTTCAATCCCTTCCTCCTAAGCATCCAATACTACATATTAAAAGGCAAAACCCTCAACCAATACTCATTCAAGTTTCGGAGCAACTTCCAAGAAACTCAAAGCGTGCAGTAACCTTCTCAGGGAAAATCCGTGGCAGACATCAGGGCAAACTGATGAGATACAGAGGATCTATTCTGTGACCTCCTGTGTATAATTACTTCAGTTCCAACCTGAGATTTTTCTGCCTAGGGAATTAGATAGCATATGGCCTTACTGCTTGCAATAATTTGTTTACTTATAGAAAATTCCCTATAAAAGAATAATGTATACCATCATTGTACAGATGGGAAACAGGATAGATTAATCGACTTACCTAAAGTCACATTGGAAGTCTGTGGTTGAACTGGGAACTGAACCCAGGTCTCCCGAGTCCAAATCCAGTAACCTAAGATCATACAGGAAGTCTGTGGGTGACCTAAGAACTGTCTCCTAAGCTCAGCCTAGCAAACTATCTACCCATTTCTTTTGTAACTCAAACATTTCTTAGCCTTCCTTTGTAACTAGAATGCAAAAACAGGTAAACAAGAACTGCTGCAGAATCTATTGAGAGTGCTTCTGGAACCTAAACAGATTTTTTCCCAGTAAGATATTAGAAGATATGAAGAGAGCAGGATGCTGTTCTGGTCTGACCTGCAGGCTAAAATAAGGCTATAAAAGCTCCTTGAAGTCATTACTTCATGTTACATTGTTAAAAGAGATCTGTTTTTAGGAAGAAAATCTAATATTGACTTAAAAATAACATCACTAGTGACTGAGAATCCATTTCAACCATGGGTAAAGTATTGAAATTTTTGCTCTTAGTCATTACTAAACAATGTAAATTTAAACTACACATAAGGCACATTAAGTTTTCACAAATGGGATCATATAATTTCTCAAAATGCATTTTCAACCTAGTAAACAATTTTTACTTTGCTCTTCCAGTGCAGATTCTTTGCAACTGATCAAGTAAGCAAGCCATTAACCTTTTGGCAAATTTAAGCAGACTGGTGGGTTGGACTTCTATTTGGGGCATATTTTCCAAACTCTTATCACTCACGTGGCACGTCAGTGAATGCAGTCTTAATAAAAAAACTTCTGTATTCTTTTATTCATATACTAAAAGCTTTCATTAACCCTGTGGCCACATTCTCACACTGGGAACAAACTGGATTCAGATGATAACGCTTTATTACCTCCAAACAATTACCATTTTGAACTCTGAAGTAGAGCTAGCATTCTCCATTCCTTGATGTGACTCTCAGTCTTCAACACAGCCAAAGGCAGACTATTTGGTAAGCAAAGTGCAAGACTGAGGTTCACCTTACACCAGTGACCTGCTTTTTCATTGTTTAGCACTCCCCACTATTGGTCTCTGCTAATTTTGTCAGAGCTTGCCTTCTTATGCTCTTGTTATTTAGAAGAAATTTTAGGAGAAAATTTGTATCAATTTGCAGTAAATTTTTCTGTAAATTTCCTCCACTAAAATAAGCATAAACACAATATCTTACCTATATGCTTTACTAGCTTTTACTGGGGTTGCTTCAAATCCAATTGGGCAAAAATAATGGTTTTGGCAATGGTAGATGTACGCCATTGATTCATCTTTCAGTCCACATGTTAGCTTTGCAAGGGCCCCTGCAGCTACAAAGAAAGATCAGGTTACAGTCCAGAGTGCTTTGGATCCTGCATAATGTATTCAGCAAAAAATACCTATTTGATAACATAAAATAGTTACACTGCTTTTTAAATTAGAGGACATGAGCTGACAGGCACGCACAAAATACAGTTTTGATTTCAAACTTTTAAGTATTTAATTTCCTGCCTGGTACAAAACAAAACAAAAAACATCTGCCACACAGGGATCTGTCCTAGAGAAATGCAATACAAAGTATGCATGTATTTAGATCAAAGTAATATCAAAAATTACTTGTTCTGCAAAAAAAAAAGAACCAAAAGTATCTCTTAACCTAGGAAATACATGCTGCAACACAATGCAGTCCCACTGCCCCAAGTCAGATGTAGCACACATCAATGATACTGCTGAAACCCCTCAAAGCTTTCAAATATTTTGGTATCATGAGCTTCTTGGAGCTTCCTAGTCTCAGGAACACCTCCCACACTTGGGCATACAATATTTAGTAATGTGACTGCCATGCTCAGTTGCAGGAAAAGAAAAGGCACTGAAACATGAAAGAATTCTCAAATGGAGTACCATGAACAAAAAAAAGGATTCCCACTTCAATAATCTCCCCCAAAACTTCTCAGCATGGTTTTATCCTTTTAGAAGATAATTGCCCAGACTACACCAAAGACTAATCAACTGTGTATGAAAGTACAATTTCTCTTTAGGTAGCACACTTAAAAGTAGACAAAAAAATGCAGCTTCATAAGTTAATTGAGAATAATCACCTAACTTTTTGACACAGACGTCAACCAAAGTCAGGCAGAATGCATGAGTTCAGGAACTTTAACATTGCATTTTTAAAAGTGCAAAACATTCATTAAAGATATTAATACTTTTGTGCTGTACATTCTAAGTTTTTATACAACACAGATTTCTAAAATGCTGAAATAAAAATGCACTGCTCCCCCAATGTATTAGAGCAAACACACCTTCCGAGACACCAACACAGAACTGGAAGTGCAGTGTCCTCCTGGATACCTTAAAATTCCAGTTCTGTGATACCAGAATATACAGCACAGGATGTATTTTATCAAAATAAAAGTACAAGTGAAAGTTTGAGCAAAATAAGAGAAAAAGTGAAACCAGAAAAATCAGGCAACGTGGGGCTATTTGACAGCTCATCTCAAAAGGGAAGTACTATTTACATAATTTGTCCTGTCAAGTGCTACACATTGCAGGATTTTTCAGTTTATATACTGTAAGATGAATGCTTTAGAATTAGCTACATACCAGTTTCTCCAGCTGTCTTGTTTTTCCCATGAGGTTTATACAGAACATAGGAGCATCCCTTGATATGGAAGTGATCATTTATTTGCCTAAACCATCTGAAACAATAAGCTTAAAGATTGTAGTAACTCAAGAGTTATTAAATGCAATTTTCTTTTCTCCCACTTTTCCTTTCCTTGACAGTTTAGAAAAAAAGTCTCAGTATGCTACTAAGTACCTACCACACTAATACGTAAATTGTAGATGACCATGGTACCCTGATACAAACAAAACTTAACATATCTTAGAGAGATAAATAAATACTCAAAACCTTTTTCTTCATTTTGTTTTTTCAGACCCAACATAGATCCAAAATAACCAAAGGGCTGGAGGTGAAATGTTGGTCCTATTGTGTTCAGTCCAGTCACCTTTAACTTTCAGTTACTCAGCCTTTAGAAAGACACTCAAATTCTGAAGTTTCAAGCTTCTAACATGATTTGTAAGCGACACCAAAGGAATCTAAGACACCAGAAGGCAGGACCCTTCAAGTGAGACTTTCTGCATATCATGTTGGGCTTTTACAACAATGCCCAAGTGGTACAGGAGTCCCATACCGCAATTCCTCACAGCAGCAGTAAGTGAGGACAGGTCTGCAAAGATTTTATCTCAGATACTTGCTTCTCCACACTAGAATATTCAAATTCACATACCTGAAGATAATATTTCAATCACTAAGCTATGTTGGGTAATGGGGTCAGCTCTCAGCCCTCCTGTTTCCCAGTCTGACGAGTACTTAAAAATTATTTGACCAGGTAAAAATAGAACCTAACAAGGGTAACCTTTCTGCAGCAGATAGGGCGCTCACAGGGGAAAAGGAAGAAGAATTTCAAGTTTAACTTTCGTCTGTATAGACTGTTGACACAGAGACAGAACACTTTATCAGCTTGGTCTGCAAGGGTTGCTATACCCTGACGTACTCCTGAAGAAATACAAAATCTGGATCTGAGTCTCCTAAGGCAGAGAAGGAAGTTTTCATAACACTCTTCAATGATCTAGCCAGTATGCTACCCTTAAAGAACAGACTGCTGCCACATTCTCAATTCTAGCACCCACATTCTGTGCCAAACCATACATATTACATTCACAAAAATACTAACTACATCAAATGCAACTCATGCAAAAGGCAAGGACACTTCAAATTTTTTTAATCTCACAAATGGGTAACACACCAAAGCCCTGCCAAGATGTTCAACACTCAAGTATGATATGCTCCTAGGCCCGTTTAATCCTAAAATTCCTTTACTCTAACAAAACAAAACAAAAAAGGGCAAAGATTTTGGACACAGCTAGTTTCTCAAGATCAGGAAACAGCAGAGCAGAAGAGAAAGAGAATTTGAAAGTCCAAGTGGTCTGTGACTCCAGCCCCATCTTTTTTTCCCCACTCCTCCTCCTGAACAGCTCCCCTGCAGCAAAGGAGCAGCACTCACTATCTCATTTTCAATTGTTAAATTAGTTTTACATAAAGCTACTAGTATAGCAATTGCTTTTTCAGGGTGTTTCACTGATATTAAGAAGCATTTAACATACATTTTCAAAAACAGGAAAATGAGGGTAAAGAAAAAATGTCCTAACTGGAGACTGGATTCGTTAGAGTATTATAAAACTATTAAACAAACTGAAACAGAAATCAAATAGAATTTCATGTTCACAAGATCTGTGTAGGAACATCACACTATACAAAATGGGTAGTGCAAAAAACTCTGAAAAGTTTCTTTGGGCACTGTCCAGAGTACCCAGGTATGCTCTATTACTCGAAAACTCAAAAGGACTAACTTGTGTCAGCCTTTTTTTTTTTTTTAATAAATTAACCACTCCTGAATTTTTAAAGGTTCTGTCTCTAGTTTTATCATGTTATTTTTGCATATATTAACAATTCAGCTGTATCAAAAGAACCAAACATACCTCATTAAAGTTGTATTTCCAGTGAAAGGACCAAACCTAATCTCCTCAAATGGGGGCTGAAAGCCCAGTATATGCAAAGCTTCTTCTTGAGTAATGGGTGGCAAACTGAAAAAAATAAAAAAATGTGTTGTTTAATTAATTAATTAGCAATGTATTTTAGATTCTCTAGAGGCAAAGCGGTCTATGTGTGACTTACCTTCCAGCTCCCAGTGTACTATATAAGAAATTCCAGCAAGACACTAAGGATGAAATTCCACAGGAAGTCTTGTATTGAGGTCGGCTAATACAATACCTAAACCGAACAAAAACCCAAACACATTATTAAGCATTCTTAATTTAGTTACAGGAGCAACCTGAACTACTTTTCTGTGTGCTATGCCACTGAAGTGCCATGTTATAGTAAATGGTTTTTACTTTGCCCATATAAAACAAACAAACAAAAAAAAACCCCAAATAAAGAAAAGAACGCATGCTTTTGGAAAAAAATGGAGCAAATACGTTAATCAATTTCTTGAAGTTTGTCAGACACTACTACCCTATTCCATACAAATCAGCTAATTGCCCCATGTGCTAACAGCCCCATGGGAGTTCTGTACAAACAATCCTGTATGAAAAAATGGTTCTGTACTAATATAACATCATATCGTTTGATCCAGTCTCTTCTAACACATGGACTTGTAGCAAACTGCATCTCTACCAATTTACTAATGAATGTCATCCCAGGTCACGGATTCCAGAGGCTAACTCTAACTTCCTGATGTCACAGATATACAAAAAGAACTACATTGATAATTACATTAATTTATTAAACTAAGTGAATTTAGTGAACTATATTCACATGATATAGGTTGTATAGAACTGACAGATTCTGATCAAGTATTTCCCAACCAAAAGAAAAATCAGGAGTAAGACATATCAGTACCACATTTAAGTTTATTTTTTGTCTGACCATGGTAATTTCCTTATTGAAAGAAAAAAACATGGTTAGAAAGGAAAATGGTTCTAGAATTTCAACAGATGGGAGGGAAGCTCTCATTCTTTCCTTCTTGTAGAAAGTATGAGGTTTAGTGTATGCATGCTTAACATATCCCCATTTCTTGTAAAAAGAAATAAAACATTAAGACATTATTAAGTAATTTGAAATAAGATAAGCAGCAACAACGTTTACCAACAAACTGTACGAGGATAATCTTAAATACAATTCATAAATACTACCATCTCCGGAGGTCCAACACTTTCCTCTCCTTCACATCTTCAAGAGCAGAACGCTGATGACACTCCCTGTATTGTTTGCTTTTTTTGTCTAGGGATTTTTTCTTTGTCACTTGTTTCTTCATGTTGCCTGCAAAACAGATTTAAGAAACAAATGAATGCCTAGTTTACCTTTTATATCTTTATTCTTAAATATTTTCAGTAGTAGCATGCACCTCAAACAGAGACTGTGGTTGTGTTAGTAAGTGCAAACTGGGAGTAAACATTAATTGAAGGAAAAAGCTCAAATACGCAATCAAGATTGTCAACAGGTTTGTAAAGCTGCCGTTAGCTCTGTAAACAACATTGTGTTTTTCTGAATAGAATTAATGATGACCTGCCCGACTGTTTAGAGCAAGCAGTTAATCTGATTATTCTAACAGGTTAAATCAGCCATCCCAGAAATAGACTGCCAGACCCACACGGACTTCCCATCTCCTAACCCTAAATGCACAGGGAAATATAATGAAACACTTGTTTTTCACAGCCAGGCTATGGAACCAGCTACACTTTCTGATTAAAACTTACATGCAAATCCAGTGAAAATAATATACCCTCAAGGTCTTTTCCTTTTTGTAAGCCACTGAGACAGTGGAAAATTAAGAGTTGGGCCACATGCTAGAGCAGGATTATTTCTGTCCCATTTTGAAGCCATCATATCCATATGAAACATACCACATATATTTTAGCAAAACTTATCATCCTGTAAAATATTATAACTTGTTTCTTATATTTAAAGACACTACCTGTACACATTTAAAAACCAACTGCTTTCCTAGATAACTGTAATTATTTCATTTACTTCTTGTCATAAACAAACCACATCATTAATTTAAAATATATCTCTGAAGTACCATGAAACATTTCAGCAAGTGACAAACCTGTACTTGACAGGTAAAAGTAACCACTGCACAATGCAACAGGTTCTACTAAAAGAAAAGAAATAAAAAAACATCCCAAAAACCCAAGGGGGTAAAAAAAACCAAACCCAAACCAGAAGCCACCCCAAACAACACGCAAAATAACCCCACACGCAGTTAAGTAGAAGCCTGCCTTGTTTTAGAGCCACTTCCCTGGACTTTCACTCCTCCTACTTCACCCTCTCCAGATGAGCGGGTTGTCTGAAATGACATACAGGCTCTTCTGTAGCACTTCCTCAAGAGATGCCTGTGCTAACCTGCCCCCCACAAACAAGTTGTAAACATGAAGCCCCTTCCTATCACAACATCAAGTCTTCACCACCTCACCTGCTTTGTTCTTCAGATTTGTGGTCATGCCATTGAACTCTGATTTGTCAATTTCCCATGCCAGTGGAAGCTTTCCAAGACCACCAGGCAAGCCTTCCAAGTTAGCATCTTCACTGTAGATTATCTCTGAAGCACCAGTTTGAATGCCAAGTAAGCTAGGTGTGTTATTTCCAACATGTAAGGCAGCACTGCCTGACAGACAGGCACTAACTGAAGCACTTGGGCTTTTACAAATAGATGTTACTCTGTTTAAAAAAGCATAGTCTGAGCAGATGGTATAAAATTTCTCTCGTGTGTGAGTCACAGGACATCCCCATGGATAATGCCCATCTCCCCTGGACACCAAGGGTGCAGTGGAGGCGTCTGACATGCAGTATGGCTTCAAGGGACCGTGAAGAGAAGCTTCTGGGGATTCTTTCCCAGGTTTGTTTTCAGTGTTTCCATTATTTCCAGAACCATTCTCCTTTTCATCTTCTGAAATGTTAGGCATTGAATGATACTGAGAGACTATGTAAGCTAAGATTTTTTTTTCTTTATGTTTTAATTACAACAGAGTTTGCAACATTGCCTCCATTGACTCTCCAAGGTATCAAAGAGGTACCTGAAAGAAAATCAGAAGTTAGTACAGGTGTCTCAGTCAACATAAAATATCCACTAAGCTTATCTTTGAACTCATAGCCAATAAAAGCTGAAATACCCTTCAAGATACATCACAACATAGTCTTTTTCTAAGCATCTCTCAAATTCTACAAACAGCACTTTTTTATTATTTATGAGGTGCCAATGCACACACCATAGTGATACCATGATGAAGAAAGACATCATGAGTAATTACACTTATAAACCAGCAAATGAATAAAAAAAATAAAATTTAAAAAAATGAAAAGCTTCCTAAATTTATGTAGTTTGTGGTTGATCACTTCTGCTCTTTACAGTCACAGTACCTTGCATATATGGAATGCAAAATAATTTAGAGAAATTAATAAGTCACCGAAACAGCAACTTATGGTCACTTAATTATGAGGAATCCCACATACTTTTTCTTCAAGTGAAGTTAAAGCTTACTGAAAATTACAGTAACTGTTACCTCTGGTGATTGTAAATTGACAGCACTACCCTCAACCTGTCTCACTCCTTTCCTTGTATAGCTGTTAAGGGTTCTCTTTTAGTTTAATGTGCCTCCTATTCTTCAAGATGTGAGAAAGAAAAGCTGGTTTTGTTTATAGTAGCTAAGAATTAGCAAAAACAAACTTAGAAGGCTGGCTTGCTTTTATCAATCTTGTTTAAAAAGCAGACTGACAGTATGCGTTATCCGTCATATCTCATCAGTTTGCACATTTGCAGTGCAAAGACACATTCTGGAGATGGGAAACCTGTCAAGCAGGAGTTTCACTCAAGAGCAGACTCCTGCGACACCAACTTCTGGTCACTGTAATGAACCAACAGCGCACAAGTCTTCTTCTGCCAGAAGCAGGTCTGGCAACCCAATGCAAGCAGGGCTCTGCTTGAAAGATCACAAGCAAATATACTCTCTGAGAGCTGATTTAAGATATTAGGAAGAAATTCTCTACTGTGAGGGTGGTGAGACACTGGCACAGGTTGCCCAGAGAAACTGTGGATGCCCCATCCCTGGAGGTGTTCAAGGCCAGGCTGAATGAGCCTTCGAGCAACCTAGTGGAAGGTGTCCCTGCCCATGGCAGGGGGGTTGGAACTAGATATCTTTACAGTCCCTTCTAACCCAAACCATTCCATAATTCTGTGATAAAATATCACAACACACACACACAGCAGCAGCC